CATGTTTGACCTTTCTGAATAGTTGCTGGGATGCTTAGAACTCGAATTCCACAGCTGGAAATAGTTTATTTTGATGCACCTGCTGTTTTCTTTGCAAATTTGCATCATAGGATTGTTTTTTGTTTTTCCTGCAGTATATAAAAATTGCTGTATCTCCAAAATAAAACTATGAAGACACTCAAAATAAACTTTTTTGTATTTAAAGTTTTGAGGGATAAGCCTCTTAAATTTCTCCAAGTAGAAATATATGTAAAAAACAAAAACAATTTTCAATTTTTTTGTAGTTTATTGCACTTTTTTGCAATTAATGTAGTTACTATGGACTTAATGCAGACATATTATTAAGATATGGGCTATAACAGTTGTATAGCAACTTGAAATGCTCCCACAAATGGCACTACAACATGTAAAAAAATAATATAAGCTCTGGCGGACTTGGTTCTATGGTAGGTCTTAAAGGGTTAAATAAATATCGTCAAATAATCGCGATCTCAATTTCAGTGAAAATAATCGTGATTATCATTTTTGCCATAATCGAGCAGCCCTAATATTAGGGATGATTGGCAGTGAGCCGCAGATGCGTTAAATGAAGGAAGGGTCACGTGTCGCGCTCGGGGATTTGACCTGAACGTGTCGACCTGTGATGGACGAATTCACAGGTCCAGGTTATGATTGTCACAATATGATTTGTTAAGCTTTCAGTATATGTGGGAATTTACTGCACGTCACTCTAACAATGATAAAGGCTGTTTCTTATTCTAACTAATCTGCTGTATAGCGTGTGTGATGAGCTCTGGTCACATGATCTGCATGTGAACACGTTTATCTGTGTTTTTCATTTGCAGAGCTACAGAGCCAAGCTAACACCCGGCAACGAGTCTGAGGCTGAGACTGAAGCCTTGTGTGCCTTCATCCAGCAGTTCACTGGCATTGAATACAACAAGGTATACTGTCTCTGACCCACAGGTTCACACACAAGTATTCCTTTATGTGGCATCAGCGTTAAAGGCCACACAACCTGAGCTTTTTGCCTGTAAGGTAAAGATGGTGACTGTAACACAGTCTGGAGCTGCTGTTCCAGCACAGTCTGTGTGTGGTGCAGGTTTGACTCAACAATGATGTGATGTTTGGAGCTGTTATGGAGACTAAAGTAAAACATGCGGTTAAATCAAAGCTTCGTACAGTTTCTCACTGAAAGCTGACATTTGTAACTCCTGAATATCAAAACATCTTCATTTTGCATTTTCATATACATAAGATCTGTGATGTTCATTATTATGTGTCACTTACTTTTCTGAAAACAATAATATCTCCGCGAGCACGCAGTAACGTTTGCTATGAACTTACAGTCGTCTCCATGGTTACGTCCTACAGCTTTTGGAGACTCTGCTCCCGCTGTCAGACCTGAATGCACGCGTCAGTGTGGCTGTGGACCTAATCACCTCCGCTCACAAGGACATCGACCGAGACTCACTGCACTTTGCAGCCTCCGCCTTCTACTACAAGCTAAAGGCTGCTGATGCATATGTACCTACTGCAAAATACCACGGCAGCGTGAAGCTGCTGCGCGCCGAAACCAGCAGCGAATATGAGCAAAACCTGGGAGCTGACTATAAGCTCAGCGAGGTAACGATGCACATTTACATCAGTCTGTAGTACTTATCTTCACTGTGCGTGTGTTTCTATAAACTCAGTCTGAGCCTTCCAATGTTCAAACTGTGTACTGCGTCTTTCTTCAGGTCTGTGATGGTGAGGTGTCGGTCCACGTCATCGAGGGAGATCACCGCACTTTCCTAGAAGGCGCGGGGGCGGAGTCTATCAAGAACATCATTCATAACTCGCTGGCTGAGCGAGCTGTCAAACCAAGGGAGGGTTAAACATCCACCGTCTCTTCACCCTAATTCCTCAGCTTTCCCCAAACTAGACTGTAAATGTGCTGTTATAGGAAGTCTTTGCACTGCTTATGTTTACATGCTACTGTTATCCTAATATCCCAAATGGTAATGGTTAGTGAACCAATCAACATCTCACAGCTCCATCGATTCCAACTGCAAGTTTTGTTTTGTTTTTTGTTGCCATGTTGTTGTTTGCAGAAGTTCATCCCACAACAAAATACGTGGTTAAAAAATGAATGTAACAAAGTAACAAACACTGACACATTGATTGAATCCTGAATTACATAACATCACTTAAATTGGTGTTTCTGCTCATGCAGACATCAGTAGACAGACAAACGCGCTGCGACCAGCCTGATGAGCGACTGTGGAGGGCTGACCTTGCAGCCGTGTTTCTGCACACTAACTACTCGTAACACCAGTTGGAGGCATTTCTTTATTTTGTGACATTTGTTTACTTTTCAGTCATGTGACCACACAGTCATCAGTTACTGTGGCAACCAGCAAATGTTTACGTTGTCAGTAAGTTAACAACAAATTAAGTGTTTCATAAACTGTGTTTTAACAATGACACTCGTGTTACTGTAATTTACAGACCAGTTATTTCACTAATTCAGAAGAAAAACTGCTTTTCTTCATGATGGACTGTGTCAAACACACGCTGTTGTTCTGACAGACGCCTGTGACAGAGGCGTCGCTAAGGACCAAACGTGTCTCTTCAGAGGTTAATCAGAGATGTGAATGATCACTGTACCAGTGAGATCATATTTACTGATGTAACCTCTGAGAAACTGTTTCCTTTTAAAGGCTTTGGTCCAGAGAGCTAAAACCTCAGCAAATAATCCAAACCTGAGTACAACAGCTGGCCTGAGACCTGTGATTGGGTCAGTGAAGGAAGCTGCTGATTGGAGATGAATGTGCTGAGGAGTCACAGTACGATGGACGTGACAATAAAGGCCTCTGTGTTTTATTGTAATATTTCTGTTATGTTTTGTAGGACTAATAAAGGCCTCAACAGTCGCTCAGTGTTTTCCTTCATTGTAACGAGCCTGTCCCGTTGGATCTATGATTCCTGTGCTTTTGTTGTCGTTACTATTTCTGATCATTTATCTTGTAAATATAGTTTTTGGGTTTTGTTTTTTAGAGGATGGGTCAGTTTATCAGGGACTGAAACACAAATCCTGTTGGCCCAGAAAATTCTTAGTCGCTGTTGACATGGCGCCACCCGACCGTTTAGTTCAGACCATTAAAGTAACGACTGGTTCTATATGACACTTTTCTACATGCAACAAAGGTGGTGATGGGAGGAGGAGAACAAACATTTTTGTCTGTATTTAATAGCACAATGAAGACCAGACAGCAAAGCAGGGAGGGAGAAATAAAGGGCCTCAGGTCAGAGTTGAACCCGGCCGCAGCATTTACCCCATGACCAGGTGACGTGGTCACCCGCCCGACCCTTACGCACAGCAGTATTTCACTTCAGCTGCCAGGAGTGTGGGTCGAGCATGCAGACTGAACTTTAGCTGCATGTTAGAAAGCCGAGTTTATGAATGAAGGCTAGAACAAATGTCCCGGCTGAAGGAGGAGGGGCTGCAGAGGTGTATAAACACAGGTGGTGGGGCAGGGCTAGTGTGCAGGATGACTCAGTGACCTGCACTGACCCCTATGTTGGTGAACATTTTGTTAAAGCTAAATGTTTTCAAGCTGACGAGTAAATTATCCAGCGAGCTAAGTTGAGCGGACCGACGTGCAGTAAGGTTTTCATGCTCTTCACTAACAGCTGATCGCTGAGAATATATCAACAGTAATAATGTCCTGTAATTCCCACGGCTCTGTATGTCACACCTGCGTATACTTCCCCATCACATTCATCACCTGTTCCTCTGGTGTCTCTGATTGGAGCACGCAGGTGTGTGGAGCAGAGTGAAATCACACACCTAATGCTGTTTTATTCAACCTGGATCTTAGAAGTTTTGATCAACAAAGGTGTCAAACATGATCTAACTCTTTGTCCCCTTCAACATTACATGTTGTTTTTTGAAGTAACAGGTTCAGTGATCTTACAAGGCTGTGGTAACGTGTCGCTGATAAAACACTGAGTCATTTTCAAATTATTCACTTTAGTTCAATTCAGCTTTATTGTTTTACAGTGCCAACAACAGCAGTCAGCTCTACAATATTACAGAGAACATTCCCCAAATCAAAAGTCCTGCGTGTGCGCTGCAGCTGTGGGTGGAAGGACCCACGTTAGCCTTTAACAGGAGGCGGCGTGTGGGGTGGTCAGCGGGACGAGGGAGGAAACAAGACGACAGTGAACCAACTGTAAAGCACTGACTGCTGCTCTAGTAACAAATCAAATGAACACTGAAAGCAAATCAGAAAACGCCCTGTCGTTAAAAGTGTCTGTATTATGGGATGGATACACCCTTAACAAAACAAAGAAAATATTACAAAACCAATTTTCCCCTCACGCTGTCGGACGCGCCTCGAGGAACCAGCTCGATCTAAAACATCACAGTCAGCTGTAAAGTGTCGTTTCAGTTTTTATACAACGTCAAAGAGCTTCATGTTTGAACAATCAGCTTATGAACAGGAATAAGATCTGCACGGTCTGGTTCTGGTCGGATGCAAACAAACAGCTGTGTGTTAATCCAGCAGCAGGACATGCTGGAGGATGGAGCTCAGCTGAAACGACCCATGAAGTCCTCACCGGCTCTCATGTTTACCATCAGGACCAATCCCTGCAACTGAAATATAATCTACTAAATATCAGAGTTGAGAAGGTTGTGTTAGCGTGTGGTGAGTGCAGGATGGGGAACTCCATCCTAACGACAAATTTCATTTCCTTAAAAAGGCATCAAGAGAAGCTTTGAAGGTAAAATGAAGGTTTTAGTGTGAAACTTTTATCTCAGCACCGTGGGAAGCTGCAGCTTTATACACAGAAGGATGTAGTTTCACATATTTCCAGACAAAGCCATAAATGCTTCTTAATCAATGCCAGTAATATACTGCTTCCTGCTTTTAAGCTTGGGTGAGCCGTAGATGCTGAAATATTGCACTGTTCTTACAAATAAAGCAAACAAATGAAGAAGTGCATTTCTATGATCTTACTCCATGGCCACGTTCATACATGTGAAAGTCTCCATCCTGTGTCCTTCACTTATCTTTATCCCAGGTGTGAATTGTTCACAGGACTTAAAAGAAGGACGTGTCTGTGGAAAAGGCTCCGGTCAACCTAAACTCCTCCCTCATCAGGACACAGAAGAGCCGCTGAGGCAGCGCCTTGGAGTACGCTGCTGGTCGCGGCACACAGGTGCGCAACAAGATCTCCCGGCCTGCTGGAGGAGGGAAGTCTGGTACTCTGCTGCTTCCCCCAGTTTGCTTCTTGTCAGATCCCAAGTCCTCATCGACGGGCGCCAGAAGGGCAGCCTAAAAGGGCAAAGGTCAAATGTTAGCAAACAGCAACCGATTCTGAAGAAATGTGCTGTGTGAGGTGGACACGTGGATATTCAGAAGTACTGTAACCGAGTCTCCCGCAGAGACCTGATCCAGACTACAGCTCACAAACACAGCTCCTCTACCAACACCTCACTGCAGCTGCACGCTGCTGATCCTGTCTGTGATTAGAATTGATTTCAATAAAGTAAAACAGAGGCTCGTTTTCTATGAGCGTAAACAGGGATCTCTGTTTCAGTCTCAGTGTAACAAACATGTTTACTGAATAAGTCTTTCAGTAAATATGTTTTTGTTAATTCAGTAAAATCTGCAAAGATGACTTGTACTGTTGGCAGCAACAAACAGAGACAACAGAGTGTGGGACAGACAGGAAGTCAGGACACGTCTATGTGCTTCACAGTGGGACTAGAACATGAACATTTCTACACACACCACAGGCAGCAACTGTGCAAACCTCCACATCACCAAAAACACCCTGCAGGTCCCATCAGAGCAACGGCAGAGAAAACAGATGAAACGTCTGTTAGAGAGAAAAACGCTTCGCTGCTTTCTTACCTGTATGACACCAAAAGGGTTTTGTTTTTTTAATAACAAAGGCTTCATGTTTTACAGTTAAAGCTCATGCAAACATGCAGGCTTATTTGTCTGATCAATGCAAAAGTTCAAACATGTCTCTTTCAAGCCTCATTATCAGCTGAGATCATAGTAAAGAACAGACAGGATCCTGATCCATCTGTTCTTTATATAATTACTGTTTTTACTGTAATGTAGAATATCATGGACATAATATACAGACTGCAGCCTAAATACTGCTAAAAACAGCCCTTTTTATCTTTAAGTTTTTACGTATTAACCTTTTATTATAAAAGTGACCTGATCCTCAGCAGGTGTGTATACAGAAATACACCAGGTCATTATTTAAGCAAAGCGAAGCCAAACTGCTCCTGTGTGACAGATGAAGTCCACCTTTAAACAGCATTTAGATGCTGCTAATGAAACTCGATTAGTGGCAGCACTGGTCTGTGGGCTGGGAACACTGGTGACACCAGTACAGCGCGCACTTTTCACAGCGCCACCATGTGGATCAAACTCTATTCTGGGTCAAACCTGATGTTTTACACTGAACAAAAATATAAACGCAACACTTTTGTTTTTGCTCCTGTTTTCCATGAGCTGAACTCAAAGATATGAAACATTTTCTACAAACACAAAAGACCCGACACTCGCAAGCAATGTTCCCTCTAAGCTGCGCGCGTGCACAATTGCGCACTGCTGGCACGTCTCTGCGCACAGAAAATCTGCGTTGTGCACACAAAAAATTTTTTTTAAAAAAAAATCACCTGAATTGAAATTAAAATTAAAACTTTAACGATTCTGTTTTGCAGTGTGAGTCAGTGACTGGCTGCTCCTGTATGGGATTAGAACGAGGCCACCTTATCCCACAGTCCAGCCAATGATCCGATTCACATTCGCATACGTGGTTGTCAGGCTATGACAGCGTCCTTATGTGCGACACCGGTGTTTTAGCAAAGCGGCTGATGTGGAGTGAAGCCACGTTAATGACAACGTGTACAACCACTGGAGATGTGAGCAGGACAGACGGAACAACTGACGGACAAAGTGTGGACTTTATACCAGTTTTTAAATTGTGTTGATCGGCCACGTAAAACCAGAGTTATGATAAAATATCTGCAATGTTTGGTTTTCTTCCTGAATACTGTCGTTGTTTATTTACTGCAGGAAGAAACGGTAAAAACAGCGTTTTATAAGGAAAACGCTGGAAAGCCTGTGAGCAAAAACAACACCCCCCCAGCCTTTCCTATTGGTGGAAAAATGTACCATGTGGACCAATCAAAAATGATATGGCAAGGGCTAGAAACGGGAGGAAGTTTTAGGAGTGACGGCGGTGCTTGGAGATGTGAGAGATTTGCGACGTTTAGCGCAAATCTTATGTAGTTAGTGTGTAGTTAGTGTGTAGTTAGTGTGCAGTTAGTGTGTAGTCGGTGTGTAGTTGGTGTGTAGTTAGTGTGCAGTTAGTGTGTAGTTAGTGTGCAGTTAGTGTGTAGTTAGTGTGCAGTTAGTGTGTAGTCAGTGTGTAGTTAGTGTGTAGTGTAGTCAATAGTGTTGTTGTGTGTGTCAGAACAATGAGGCGACTGCTGAGTGTTACAGGTGTTACAGCAGTGACACATCTGCTGCTGTCAGGCCTGCAGGTATCAGGCTGTTGTTCTTCTTTATCTCATAGTGGACAGAAATTATTTTTTGGAGTGGCATGTCAAGGTGCTGATTAGACAGCATGAATATTGCACAGGTGTGTCTGAGACTGCCCACAATAAAAGGCCACTCTGAAATATGCCGTACATGTGTAGCACAATGACACACATGTCGCAAAACCAGTCAGGATCCGGTTCAGCTCATGGAAACAAAAGTGTTGTGTTTATATTTGTGTTCAGTGTAACAAATACTGAGACGTGTATTATTGTTGTGTGTTGTTCATCTGAGGACGCTGCAGAGAACCAGATTATTTTTATTATCCTGTTTGTCTGTTATGTGAACCTTTAGAGAGGATGTACCTTACAGTGACTGAGTGTGTTTATCGCACTATGTTAAATGTAACTGTGAGCGACACGAGGCTTACTGCATGGTTACCTCATCAGTGGTGAAGTCAGCCAGCTTGATGCAAGAAACAGGAAGAACAAAAGGATGAAAGAGCAACACACAGATGAAAAACAAAAACAGACTTTCTAACCGACAGAGCTGAAATCTGAACATGTCACCAGCTGCAGGAGGCAACGCTCTGAACCACGTCGTTCCTCCTCCAGATGGAGCTTTCACTGCCTATAGTCTCTTGACATACAATGGTTGGATTCTCCTATGGTATCAGCTGAGCCTCAAATTCTTATGATCTCGAGCTTCAGTCTCAGTGAATCCTTAGTTGGCTCAGATGCATCATCTGGTGTTTGAGTGTAACAAGGTGGCTGTAACACAAAAGGTGTGTATGTGTTTGTGTAAACAGGTGAGTGTGGTTTGTAGTGTCCAACTAAAGCAGCGTGTCTAACCAACCACATCTCCAGGGCTGAATCAGGTGACCACGAGCCATCGCTCCACAGCTGCTGAGGGAGCTACAACCCTCATTCAGCCTTTCACAGACATACGGTACTGTATGAACAATAAACTTTATTCATACACACAAATCTCTTTAGGGTTGTGTCAGCGAGGGCAAACGTGCCACATCAAATACATGGAGCTACAAGCTGTGGTGACCCACTGTCAGTAAGGGAGCTTTATTACACACACACAGCATCACAACAACAGTTACTTCAAGCTGCTTCTATGTTATAAGGCAAAGACCCTGCAGTAACACAGGCAACATTAGGTGACCGTCTGTGAGCGACAGTGGGAACCAAAGCCTCTAACATCCATCGATAGATGAGGGGCAGACGGACTGAATGCAGAGAGGTGTACTAACACATGCTGAGTGAAGAAGAAACACCCAGTGCATCATGGGAAACTTAGACCTATAACTTAGACCTGTGCGCCTTAGCATATGCTACTTCCGGCGTATAGCGCTTAGTTTCCGGTGTTATATTCGCTCCTTGTTCACGGTCGGGTTTTTCAACCAAATGGACGAATCCAGTGGCGATTTACATTTCTCGAGATGTCGAATGTATCTGTAGATGATGTTGATCGACTTGTCGATATTTTTTCCCCCCGCGCCTCAGAGCAAACGAGAGAAAGGATTCAAATATAATACTTCTCAGTATCTGTATACAGCGCTCCCTCGTTTATCGCGGGAGTTACGTTCTAAAAATATCCTGCGATAGGTGAAATCTGCGAAGTAGCCAACTTTATTTTTTACAATTATTATAGATGTTTTAAGGTAAAACCCGTCACTACACACTTTATAGCACAGCAGCGCCTCTTCTTTCTCAGGAGACTGAAAAGATTCGGCATGAGCCCCCGCATCCTCAGGACCTTCTATCACTGTGCCATTGAGAGCATCCTCACTGGATGCATCACCACCTGGTATGGCAACAGCACCGCCTACAACTGCAAAGCTCTCCAGCGAGTAGTGCGGTGCTCTGAACAGATAATTGGAGGTGAGCTTCCCTCCCTCCAAGACATCTACAGGAAGCGGTGCCTGAGGAAAGCGGGGAGGATCATCAAGGACTCCAGTCACCCCAGCATAAACTGTTCAGACTGCTTCCATCAGGAAGGAGGTTCTGCAGCATCCGGTCCCGTACCAGCAGACTGAGAGACAGCTTCTTCCACAGGCCATCAGACTGCTGAACACGTCATAGACACCTCAGCTTCACTACTGGACTTAACATTATGCACTCCATACTGTATATAATGCCACTGTTCTGCACATATTCAACTCTGTATATTTTATTTTATTTATTTTATATATTCTATTCATTGTTTACTCTATTTAATTTGTAAAATATGCACACACACACACACACACACACACACACACACACACACACACACACACACACACACACGTAGAAAAATATTTAGTATACACATCCAGAAATGCATATACTATTATATATTACATATATTTATTAGTTTCAGATGTAGCCATTCTTGTATTTTGCTTGTTTACATTATTGTATTTTGCACAACTCTGTTGCTTGTGGGGCTCGCACACAAGAATTTCACTCACATGTGCTGTACCAATGTACCTGCACATGTGATGTGACAATAAAAGTGATTTGATTTGATTTATACACTCAGACAGGCATGAACATTTTCACACGTTTCTCTCTTGTTTAAGCTCTCAAAGTTCAAACCTTCGTAGACAAATAAGTCCAGTATTACAGAAACCAAAGATCAAACCGTGTTTTCAGGTCCAGCACATGAGAACAGAGCAGCTGAGAGATAATTCAACATCAGTGAATCATTAATGAATCAATGAATCAGCGATTCTGTACTGTACAGGAGAGACGGCACGGAGGAGATCAACAATAGTCTGCAGCCAATCAGGACGCAGAACACAAAGCGCTGTGCGCAAAAAAAAAAAAAAGCATGCAAACTTGCACAAAAAAAAAATCTGCGAAACAGCGAGGCCGCGTTATAGCGAGGGACCGCGGTAATTTTGAAGGTACGTCACAACATACCCTTCGTAAATACTCATGCATAGAGACCCTTACCACGGTTTGTTGACATGCTGTGTAGGTGTGTACTTGACTAGCAGGGAAACCTTTGACTATTGTTCACCTGTAGTTTGAATGCTGTTTAAATCATAAGAACTGTCACTATACAGAGATGTGCTTCTGATTCTGTAATGCAGTTCTGCTTGTGTTGAGTGATGTAAACCACCAATCGATCTGCACGTTTCAAACGTCAAAACTGATCATTTGATTTTTTTATGACACAGCAGTGGTGAGTGTTCCCACCTTCTGCTCTTTGTAACTTAACGCGATCTTTCTGTTTTCATATTTTGGACATGATTTTGGAGTCCATCTTTGCAGCAGCAATTGACCGCAAAGTAAAGCTACCGGAAATGTACAACCCTGCATCCGATATTAAAACAGGAAGTTAGCATTTTCTCGTGCACAGTGTCTATTGCAGACTAATTAAGGTTCCTGATCCAACTTTATCAAAGAGGAAAGTTTTGTCTGTCTCCTGAATCCAAACTGGAAGCTGGTTCCACAGAAGAGGGGCCTGAAAACTGAAGGCTCTGCCTCCCATTCTACTTTAAATACTCTAGGAACAACAAGTAGGCCTGCAGAGCGAGAGCAAAGTGCTCTAATAGGGTGATATGGTACTACAAGGTCATTAAGATAAGATGGGGCCTGATTATTTAAGACCTTGAAGGAGCAGGATTTTGGATTCATGTTCCAGTTGATGCATCAGAGTCAATCTGGGATCCAGTGTGGAGCACATGGACACTTTTAAGGCTTAAAGAACAAACCGATGATTCGATTAGATACTCGGCTCCATCTCTGGAGTCACGGCCACCAAAGCTTTGTTTCTGCTAACACTGTAAACATATACAAATGCACATTAATAGTTGTTACAGCAGAAAGAGAAAAAGAAGCGTCAAAGACAGGAAGGAGATCTGCTCCACTGTGGAGAGAGCTGCACAACTTTGTTCCTGCAGAATTGTCACACAGTCAAACTGATAATTCTTCATTTTTCATTGATAGTTAAACAGACTGGTTCTTATAGCTCTGAACGTGCTTCACAGCACAGCAGCAGCAATTGTGTGTTTCAGGAAGAAACAACGTTACAATAGAGCAGACTCTCCTGACACTGACAGACAACACTGCGTCTTTACATCAGTGCTGACCACGTCCTTCCAGTTTCATCTACATGAAGTATATATAAATAAAACAGCGCTGACTTCATGTCTTGTTCTAGGACCGGGACACCGACCTATTCTTGATGCTGATATTGAATAAGTGGTTGACTGGTGTATGTGTGTACCTCTAAAGATGTCTCTATAGATGACAAATACATGACTGTATACATGAAACTGACAGCAAGACGTGGGAAGGACACGGAGGCAGAGTGAGAGTTACCCTCTGAGCACTGATGAAGAGTCTGTGGATTATACTGCCAGCCAGGCCCTGGCCTGCTCCTGTCACTACCACCTCTGGTTCCTCCAGCAGGGAGCTCACAAACCTAGAGACAACACACAATGTGGGAAATGTTACACTATTCCCACAAAACAAAACACTTAAATAAGAACATGTAAAACCTGAAGACACCAAAACTATAAATAAGACCACCAACATGAGCGAGAAAGAAACATCATCATCATCATCGTTTATTTGTATAGCACTTTAAGAACACACCAGGCAGACCAAAGTGCTGAACAACACAGATCAAAACAACAACCAAATTAAAATACCATAAAATCATTACATACAATAAAATAAATAAGAAGGTGTCAGTTTCCTACAGTTAAAAGCCAGGGAATAAAAATAAGTTTTCAATCTGGACTGAAAGACCTGCACTGATGACGCTTGTCTAATTTGGAGGGGAAGGTTATTCCAGAGCATCGGAACCGCAATTGAAAAGGCACGGTCTCCTCTGCATTTCAGCCGCGACTTAGGGACCGACAGCAGCAGCTGCTCAGCTGAACGGAGCGAGCGAGGAGGAACATGTGACTTCAGCAAGTCAGATAAGTACACAGGAGCCAGACCATTTAAAGATTTAAAAACCAATAAAAGGACCTTAAAACGAACCCTAAAATCAATGGGAAGCCAATGCAAGGAAGCCAGAACCGGAGTGATGTGATCGAATCTCCTACTACCGGTTAAAAATCGCGCCGCCGCGTTTTGCACTAACTGCAGGCGTGACAAGGTGAAAGGTGAAACGTGTGAACTGACTGTGATCCTTCAGACGGCGTCTTTGTGAAACGTTAACAGATTCATCGTGACAACCTGTTACTGACAAACTATCTATAGTGACGGTGAAGACAGTTACATGTCACCAACAGCACAAACAAAGCTGTCAGTGAGCGCAGCTCAAACTCTGCGACTCACTTCTTCAGTTCATCAGCAGCCTCTCCGCTGTCGTCCTCAGGAATGGAGAACTTGGCCTTGAGCGAGCGAGCTTGAGTGATGACTGTCTCCATGCTCAGCAGCTGGTTAATGAAATCCTGCACACAGGACAAGAACAACTGTCTGCTCAATCCTGACAGCATGAGACCCCAAGACTGTCACATTTATACACATACAGTGGGGCAAAAAAGTATTTAGTCAGCCACCGATTGTGCAAGTTCCCCCACTTAAAATGATGACAGAGGTCAGTAATTTGCACCAGAGGTACACTTCAACTGTGAGAGACAGAATGTGAAAAAAAAATCCATGAATCCACATGGTAGGATTTGTAAAGAATTTATTCATAAATCAGGGTGGAAAATAAGTATTTGGTCACCTCAAACAAGGAAAATCTCTGGCTCTCACAGACCTGTAACATCTTCTGTAAGAAGCTTCTCTGTCCCCCACTCGTTACCTGTATGAATGGCACCTGTTTGAACCCATCATCTGTATAAAAGACACCTGTCCACAGCCTCAAACAGTCAGACTCCACACTCCGCCATGGCCAAGACCAAAGAGCTTTCGAAGGACACCAGGAAAAGTATTGTAGACCTGCACCAGACTGGGAAGAGTGAATCTACAATAGGCAAGCAGCTTGGTGTGAAAAAATCAACTGTGGGAGCAATCATCAGAAAATGGAAGACATACAAGACCACTGATAATCTCCCTCGATCTGGGACTCCACGCAAGATCTCATCCCGTGGGGTCAAAATGATCATGAGAACGGTGAGCAAAGATCCCAGAACCACACGGGGGGACCTGGTGAATGACCTGCAGAGAGCTGGGACCAAAGTAACAAAGGTCACCATCAGTAACACACTACAACGGCAGGGAATCAAATCCCGCAGTGCCAGACGTGTTCCGCTGCTGAAGCCAGTGCACGTCCAGGCCCGTCTGAAGTTTGCCAGAGAGCACATGGATGATACAGCAGAGGATTGGGAGAATGTCATGTGGTCAGATGAAACCAAAGTAGAACTTTGTGGTATAAACTCAACTCGTTGTGTTTGGAGGAAGAAGAATACTGAGTTGCATCCCAAGAACACCATACCTACTGTGAAGCATGGGGGTGGAAACATCATGCTATGGGGCTGTTTTTCTGCCAAGGGGACAGGACGACTGATCCGTGTTAAGGACAGAATGAATGGGGCCATGTATCGTGAGATTTTGAGCCAAAACCTCCTTCCATCAGTGAGAACTTTGAAGATGAAACCAGGCTGGGTCTTCCAACATGACAATGATCCAAAACACACCGCCCGGGCAACAAAGGAGTGGCTCCGTAAGAAGCATTTGAAAGTCCTGGAGTGGCCTAGCCAGTCTCCAGACCTCAACCCCATAGAAAATCTGTGGCGGGAGTTGAAAGTCCGTGTTGCTCGGCGACAGCCCCAAAACATCACTGCTCTCGAGAAGATCTGCATGGAGGAATGGGCCAAAATAGCAGCTACTGTGTGTGCAAACCTGGTAAAGACCTATAGTAAACGTTTGACCTCTGTTATTGCCAACAAAGGTTATGTTACAAAGTATTGAGTTGTATTTTTGTTATTGACCAAATACTTATTTTCCACCCTGATTTACCAATAAATTCTTTACAAATCCTACCATGTGGATTCATGGATTTTTTTTTCACATTCTGTCTCTCACAGTTGAAGTGTACCTCTGGTGCAAATTACTGACCTCTGTCATCATTTTAGGTGGGGGAACTTGCACAATCGGTGGCTGACTAAATACTTCTTTGCCCCACTGTACATGGTTTTTCCTACGTGGAACGTTATAGGCTGATCTCGGGTGTAAAAGGCGTGTTTGGAGTCACAGTGGATACACGGCATACTTAAATGTACTTTGAGAAAGCCAAGAATACTTTTACACAACAAGACTGTCCAATCAAGGAAAACTAACATGGTGGGGTTTAGCTGTGCAGCTGTACAGTGTTATTCAAAGAAAAGGGGCTGTATGGATACTGAGTGCTAGTGAGAAGAACATTTTTATATGTGAAGAAGTGATGATTGTTCTCAGACTTTAGGACAGTATTAAAGCAGGTGTTTAATGCACCTAACGTGTGATCAAACTCAATAATAACAATCTCAGTCTCTGTTTTCGATCACTGATAAACACATCCGATATCAGCAGAGTATAAAAGCTTTGAGCCCAGGTGGGAACAGCCGAAGGAATTACCTAGGTTTAGAAAAAAGTTAGCCATCACTGAGGAAGCACTGGAGTTTATTACTCCAGCTCCCACTACAATCCCACTGCACCACACCCCTGTTTTCATGGTTCAACCATCAACAGTCATAATAATTATCAGCCAAGTTCTCAGCCATGGTGCACACTGTCCAGTCTACGTACACCTCATGTACAGCACATACTCAACTACAACAAAAACACAGTTAACAATCAATCAATAATGTATTAAAAACAAAACTTTTTTGGGTGAATCTAATGATACTTTCTTTTAAACTGAATTATTTGTGGAAAGTCCGGTCGAGTTTTCACTGACCTCTAACTTCTTGTAGTCCTGGTTGGGGGACTGCAGGAGCTTGCTCGCTTGAACTGTAGCTTGCTGAATGGTTTTTTGCACTGATGGAATATCTTCAGCAGACTCTGAAAGAGAAGAAATGACAGTGTTTCCAGAGTGACAGAAAGCTGTGATTAAAAGAAAGACTTGCCACGTTTGTAACCTCAATTACTGTTAACATGAGAAAAAGCCTAAAATCGAGTAAACCTGCAAACTATTATCTTACTAATACAGATCCTTTTGAAATAAACAAAACCTTCACAACATTTTATAATAATCTTTACAGAGATTAAAACATATCCACAAAGTCTTGATGGATTATTATTGGAGTTAATTAATCCAGCTATTTCAGAGGATCACAGAACACATCTGCAAATAGAAACTAAGCCTTTTGTCCAGGAATATACCCACATGTGCTTTGGCACAAGGAAAAACTCCCTTTAAACAGGAAGAAGCCTTAAGCAGAGCCAGGCTCAGGGAGGGGCGGGGCCATCTGCAATAACCGAGTACAATAACCTCAGTTTGATCTGAATTAAGAAGCAGAAAGTTAGCGGCCATCCAGGTCTTTGTGTCTTTAAGACATTACTGCAGTTTAACTCATTGGTGTGTGTTATCTGGCTTCATGGACAGATAGAGCTGGGTGTCATCAGCATAGCAGTGTAAATGTATGCTATGTCTTCTAATGATGCTGCCTAAGGGAAGCATGTATAATGTAAACAGAATTGGTCCTAGCACTGAACCCTGTGGAACTCCATAATAACCTCAGTGTGTGAAGAGGACTCTCCATTTACATGAACAAACTGGAGTCTATTAGATAGATATGATACAAACCTTCACACATTCACGTGTTATCAGCACGGAGCGTCTCTGTCAACCTCTGGAAGTAAAGCTTTTAGTAAGTGTCATAAGATCAAAATACATTTTTTAAAGAAGTGAAACGAGGACATTATTGTTGTGTCCAAGCTACGTTTTGTATTTTGTAGTCCAGACTTAATCAGAATTAATTTGCATACAACCTGGATAGGCACCAAAGCATTTCTGACCTGCTGAAACATTCTGGGATATTACAGAATAAATGAAAACTAGCTTTCTGGTTTAATTAGAGAAAAGGTCTGAGTATCACAGCAGGACGTTAGCTGATTGAGGTTTCTCCAAAGTACTAGAAAACTCTCCTCAGTGATGTCCTTACTAGTGTCTCTCATTGGCTGTCTCTAGACTCAGAACTGGTCTTAGCAGTATACCGTCAACTTAGAGACGATCCAGAAACTAAGACCTGTTATAATTATACGTGAACTCTCATTAGCTAAATTAATGGTTGCACCGCAGGTGTCAGGGAACAACAGCAACACGACTGAAAGATCTTTAGCTTCTTCTAAAAACCAATTCAGATTATGCCCTGCTCCAGATGTGACAGTCTGAAGACGAAATCTAGACTTTTCTGTATCCTGGAATAATTATCAATTTATTGTGTGTAGAATAAAATAAAGAGTGGGTTTTATCTGATTTCTGATCATTACTGGAGAAAACTTGACTGAAAGAAATTCATGTTGGGGAAACTTTCCAGGCTCCTTTCACAGTGAGGGTTGGGTAGCTAGAGTAAACAAACTAAATCACATTTACCTGCATTTTAACACCAGGGTCATGTTCTACGCAGCCCTGAAAATATCACGTGTCCATCTCTGATACTTATAAGAGCTCAAAACTGGCCCAAACCCTGATGGAGTCCAAGGGCCTGCAGTGCAGAACACATCTTGAGCCCAAATCAATCAGAATCAGAATCAGAATACTTTATTGATCAATTATTTTTGTACAGTGCTCATTATAAACAACATAAAAAAACAATAATAACTAAAAAAAAAAAAAAAAAAAAAAATATAAATAAAATAAAAAAAAGAAAAGAAAATGCATAAATCTGGGAGGCTCAGGATTGGGCTTTTTCTGCAGCTCATGGGCTGCATTCACTGAACCGACCACAAACTCATCTGTGCACCAAAGTACACAGTGAGACGTCCTTTACCCTCACATCACTGGACACTTCCAGGTTCTGGGTTCCAGTCACTCTATACCAGTGGTGCCCAAATCTTTTTGCATCACAGCTGTGATACAGAACGGCTGTGTGGGCGGAGCCTGTTTCGCTTCAGTGCCGGAAAAAAGGGGTTGTATTTTGATGTAATGACTGTGTCGATGCAATCAGTCATTACATCACTCAGCTCAGGACTGAGCTGTGTAGACGCCAGCGTGTATCATACAGTGCGTCCACTTGCAGCCCTCCTCGTTTCCCAGTCGTCCCGCCCCCGTCTGCACATCCCCACACAGTCCTCACGTTTCACAGTCAGTGATTGTAAAGAGTTCCTCTGCAGTGGCTCTGCCAGGAGCCTGTCTGCAGAAGTCATTCCTTTGTCACTATCAGTGGCTTTCTCCACCTGCAGAGGAAAGCAGCTAGCATGCACCTTATCATTAAGCACTCGATAGGCAACTTTACAGGGCAGAGCACAGACGCAGTTTTAGCAGAGACACTGTTGAGCACGACAGTTTAGAAGTGTGTGTCTGAAAAAGCCCTCTGACTTGTCTTTGTGCTCTGGATGTTTGGCGTCTTAGCTTGTTAAGCTTTAAACTGTCACAAACTTGCACTTTAAGACAGACACGCTGCGGCCTCTCCTCATCACCCACCGCTGCGCAGGTATGCTTCATCTTATCTTCTTTGGTTTGGAAACATATTTGGTGATGCTTCATCCTCTGCTTTGTGTTTGTGTGCGAGCCCCGTCAAAAGCCTGTGCATTATGCTGGCAGCGTCCAAGATTTCTACTTTTTTATTCATGCAGCTTCTGGTTTTTTTTCTCCATTAACATCTCGGGTTGCATTTCATTTTTTTAGTACTTATTTTAATATCTTTAGTTTTTTGTATTTCGGTCTTACTGTAATTTACCTGCTGTGGGCTCAGAGTTATTTTCCCTGATTTTATTTCATATAAACGTGTTTTTCAACCAAACGGTGAGGACTTACCTTCTTCCTTTAACTTCTGAATAGTTGCATGAAGTATACAGGGCAGGAGGTGACGGGCCAGGTCTGCAGGTTTCTGCATCGCCATGTAGTGCAGAACCTAAAGACAAACCCCCAAAAAGTTAGTTTGCCTGGCTTCTGTTTTCCTTTTGCTCTTTCAGATCAACAGAATATTTTTGCACAGCCAACAGGCTGCCTCTGAAGAAGACTCCAGATAAACGGTGACCTTTCTCTATGATGGTTATTTACAGAGGGACCAGTCATACCCAGATCTTTAAATCTGTCATAAGACTATCAGTGAGCATTATTTTTAACTTTCTCTTTTTGGATAAACAATGTCTTTAAAAGACAGGCAACATTTTCAGTGATGGTGCAAACTGGAGCTCCGAGCTCTGCTTTCATATGTGCAGGAAGAACATGCAAACGCTTGGCAGGGACCTGCCCGGGTCCAAATCCAGGACCTCTTTGGGTGAGGAAACAACTAACCCCAGTTACTGTTTGTCCTTCCCATAAAGCCGACCGGATCATTAATAGAAGCTGGTTTAAAGTTGTTCTTCATTTAACACCATCACACCACAGAGAGCTGCTGTGTGTCAGTTAAACATCGTGTGTGACAGCATCAGATCCTTTTTCATCAACATGTGAAAATGCTTCAACATGTCTGTGAGCACAGATCTGTGTTAAACTGA